GCCCTGCATACATTACACAGGCACATGCCTGGCTCTTCCCATGCAGTCTGCACATACACCCCATGCAGCTCCAGGTGCCCCTGCCATACTGCACCTTGCTCAGCTCTGCGCCCTCTTAGATGATTTCAGGGTTCTCTGGAGGTTTTTCTTCGACCTCTTCCTCTCAGTGTTTTCCTGCTCTAGATCCGCTCCACCCTGTCCCCCCTCCTCCACCACTCACACTAATGGCACAGGAGACATTAAATGGGTACACCATAGAGACGTGCGATCGGGTCGCAGCGACATCTACAGCACAGAACTGCTAACTGCAACAGAGTGTGCTTGTGCTCAGGGGGATTCCCACACTTCCTGTTCATATGTCTCTAGAGAGGGTTAGAAGGAGTTGGGAGGTTATTTCCCTGGAAATGACTGTTCATGAAATTGTGCCTATGTTGAAAAAAAAATTAAAAATGCAGTGAAAACATTTTTTTTGATAGAACGAAGAGGGATTTGAACACCAGTTTTTATTGCTGTCTGTGCCCCTATTGGGGCACTATATATTTGTTTACTATTATCATTGAAAGTGAAAGCAAAGGAATATCCCACATTTTTGGGTTGTCCCCAGAAAAGTAATAGAGGGGAAATCTTCCAACAGACACTAGTTCTGGTGATCTGGGGGTCCCTAAGGAATTATTATTTATTTATTTCAGGTACTTATATAGCGCTGTCAATTTACGCAGCACTTTTACATATATATTGTACGTTCACATCAGTCCCTAACCCTCAAGGGGCATACAATCTAAGGTCCCTAACTCACATTCATACATACACATACTAGGGCCAATTTAGACAGGATCCAATTCACCTACCAGCATGTCTTTGGAGTGTGGGAGGAAACCGGAGTACCCGGAGGAAACCCACGCAGGCACAGGGAGAACATGCAAACTCCAGGCAGTGGTGCCGTGGTTGGGATTCAAACCAACGTCCCTAGTACTGCCAGGTGGAAGTGCTAACCATTTAGCCACTGTGCTTCCCTTAATGTGTTACTAAACCCAAGACCCTGCATTCACTATATTCGGTCTCCCACAGTACACAGGACATGGAAATGCCATTATTTTAGTAAATATAAACTGCTAAATATGTTTTCTCATCAGCAGTTAGAGCAGTCTAGTGACTTCTATCAGTCCAGCTGAGCACTGGTTAAAGCTTGAAAAATGAGTTTTCATTCTCCTCTCACTGTCCTAGGAGGCTGCATAACCCCTGAACCTCTGTCTGGACAGTGCTGATTGGCCCTGTAATGATCACATGCACCCTTCCAAAGAAAAAAAAAAAACAAATCTCTAGCAATACACGCCAAACAGAGCATGTGCAAAGTGACTCCTAGAGTTCTGTACTATCAGTAGATGGATTGGGAACAGTAGAAGAAGGGGATGATCAGAGAAGACAGGATCAAACAGCCTTTTTACACAATGCAGAGGATTAACTCCTTAGGTTCCACAGTGAGTATAACACGCATGCTTTACTGCATAAACTGACTGAGCTTACTGTTGTGGGTTTAATATCACTTCTTTGCAGGGATTTCCTGTTTGGCTATGGGACAGGAAATGAAGGGAAATCTCCCCAATGGGACACAGATGGCGGAAAAAAAATCTGACAGTGGTTATAACCCTCCCTTACTTTATCAAAAATGAAAAAAAAAAAAAGGTTTTGCCTATAGTTCTGCTTAGGTTTTTAACTTTTACCCTCTTTGTGCCCAGGCCAATTTGTAGCTTTCATAACTGTCGCACGTTGAATGACAATTGCGTGGTCATGTAACACTGCACCCATATGAAATTTTTATACTTCTTTCACACACAGAGCTTTCTTTTGGTGGTATTTAATCATCACTGGGTGTTTTATTTATTTCCCACTATAAACAAAAAAAAGGAAAAAAGTTGAAAAAAGGGGTTTTCTTTGTTTCTATTATAAAATTTTGCAAACAGGTAATTTTTCTCCTTCACTGGTGTGCGGTGATGAGGTGGCACGGATAGGCAGCACTGATAGGCTGCATTGATGAGGTGGCACTGATGGGAATTGATGAAGAGGCACTGACTATGCTGCATTTATATGCAGCAATGATGGGCACTGATGGGCTGCACCGATGAGGTGGCACTGATGGGAATTGATGAAGAGGTACTGACTATGCTGCACCTATATGCAGTAATGATGGGCACTGATGGGCTGCACCGATGAGGTGGCACTGATGGGCATTGATGAAGAGGCACTGACTATGCTGCACTTATATGCAGCAATAATGGGCACTGATAGGCTGCACTGATGAGGTGGCACTGATGGGAATTGATGAAGAGGCACTGACTATGCTGCACTTATATGCAGCAATGATGGGCACTGATAGGCTGCACCGATGAGGTGGCACTGATGGGAATTGATGAAGAGGCACTGACTATGCTGCACTGATATGCAGCAATGATGGCCACTGATAGGAGGCACCGATGAGGTGGCACTGATGGGAATTGATGAAGAGGCAATGACTATGCTGCACTGATATGCAGCAATGATGGTCACTGATAGGAGGCACTGATGGGCAGCACTAATGGCAACACTGACGGGCGGTGCTGACAGAACTGACTGGTGGCACTGACTGAAGGCACTGCTGGGCAGCACTGCTGGGCAGCACTGCTGGGCACTGGAGGAAGGCACTACGGGGCACTGATCATCAGGGCAGAGCCTCAGATGAAGTTGGAAGTGACGAAATGCGTCAGTTGTGACGTCAGATGTAAACCGGAAGTTGCGGAGTGGCCATTTTGGAAAAGGTTTTTTACACTGTTTGCCAGTCCTATACATGCTGAGACACCTTATCTTTCCTGCAAGCACAATTTGATCATTAAAGGAGCTTTAACCCTATTATTGCGTGGAAGTTTTTTTAATGTACAAGAGGGTAAGAGTAAGGATGACGGATGGTTAAAGGTGCACAGACGGTGGAGTGGATTTTGCACGCATTGGCACAATTTTTGTAAATGTGTTTTATTATGTTGAATATCATGCGTTGTAGATAATGCACCATATGCAATTTATATTTTTTTGAGGGCAGTAAGAGGAGGAAGAGGATTCTTTGGCACTTGTGGAAAAAGAATATTCACTAAGAAAATATTAGTATCACTGGTTATCTTTACACAGAAACGCTGAATTAAAGTTGGACTGTTTTGGACTTTGGGGGGTGAAAGTGGTTTTTGGCATCGGGGGTTTTTCATTTGTTACATTTTGGTTTATTATTTTGTATCACAACTTAGTATTATACTGATACATTCATTTATTAGTATTGTGCTACTGCTAGTAATGTGCTAGTATTGTGCTACTGCTGGTAATGTGCTAGTATTGTGCTACTGCTGGCAATGTGCTAGTATTGTGCTACTGCTAGTAATGTGCTAGTATTGTGTTACTGCTAGTAATGTGCTAGTATTGTGTTACTGCTAGTAATGTGCTAGTATTGTGTTACTGCTAGTAATGTGCTAGTATTGTGTTACTGCTAGTAATGTGCTAGTATTGTGCTACTGCTGGCAATGTGCTAGTATTGTGCTACTGCTAGTAATGTGCTAGTATTGTGTTACTGCTAGTAATGTGCTAGTATTGTGTTACTGCTAGTAATGTGCTAGTATTGTGCTACTGCTAGTAATGTGCTAGCACCTTATCTGTACAGGCAGTTTTTGGTAAAGGTGAACTAACCCTTTCAAGCCTCCACTGCAGGCAGGGAGGGAAATTACCCTTGCAGTGCCCCCCACTGCATCGAATAAATTCGCTTCGAGCCGAATATATTCGCTGCGAATTTAACTTATAAAAAGGGTGTTTCTAGGCTTCAGAGAGCCTTTATATTAGTGCAGAACACTGTACCTTTAATTTAAATGCCCTTGGAGTCTGCTGGGGAAGAGAAATAATACTGTCAGTCAGTATGACATGCAGATGAGTGCCGTCGATCTTAGAATCACCGCACACTTCACTCATTTGGGCAGTCACGGGGCCAAAACCAGAGTGTGGAGCCACAGTGTGGCGGTGGAGGCAGCAGCAATGGGAGGCCATACAGCACCCTATGACAAAATGGAACCCACCAGCAGTGTGAGGAGACCTGAAAGTGGCACATGGCAGAGTGTGGCGATGGAGACAGCAGCAATGGGAGGCCGTACAGGGACCCATGACACACTCTGGACCTGGCAGCATGAGGGGCGGTACAGGGGCCCATGACAGATTACGGGCCTGGCAGCAGCATGAGGAGTCGGTACGGGGGCCCATGGCAGATTACGGGCCTGGCAGCAGCATGAGGAGGCGGTACAGGGGCCCATGGCAGAGTGGCGGAGCGTAAGCAGCTAAAATTGAAGGCCATACAGAGGCCTATGTTAAAAAGTCCCCCCCAGCAGCAGCGTGGGGAGACGACTATCAAGAGTCCAATGGCAGAGTGGCGGAGCAGAAGCCTCACAGTTAATTCCAATAACGAACTCTACTCCTCCGTGCAATCTACTTACGAGACCCTGGGCAGGTCTGGGTCCAATTTGTGGTAGAGACTGGTTTTGTTCAGCCATGCTTGAGCGAGTAATAACAGGTCTGTGCTGCCCTTTGGTGTCTGGCTTAATGCGCACAACACTGAACGTCCCAGCGTTTGTCAACGATTTGCCGTTAAGTGATGCAAACCCGCTGAACCACGTTCATGAGGAGCCGGTACAGGGGGCCATGAATCAGTATGGACCTGGCAGCAGCGTGAGCAGACGACAGAGGCACATGGCGCAGGGTGGCGGTGTAGGCAGCATTATTCTGAAGCCATACACAGGCCTAGGTTAAAAAAAAGCGGAAGAAGCCGTCAGCAGCGTGAGCAGACGACAGAGACACATGGCGCAGGGTGGCGGTGGATGCAGCAGTATTCGGAAGCCAAACACAGCCTCGGTTAAAAAAGCGGAAGCCGTCAGCAGCGTGAGCAGACGACAGAGGCACATGGCGCAGGGTGGCGGTGGAGGCAGCAGCAATGGAAGGCCATACAGCACCCTATCACAAAATGGAACCCACCAACAGTGTAAGGAGACCTGAAAGTGGCACATGGCAGAGTCTGGCGATGAAGTCAGCAGCAATGGGAGGCCGTACAGGGACCCATGACACACTCTGGACCTGGCAGCAGCAAGAGGAGGCGGTACAGGGGCCCATGGCAGAGTGGCGAAGCGTAAGCAGCTTAAATTGAAGGCCATACAGAGGCCTATGTTAAAAAGTCCCCCCCCAGCAGCAGTGTGGGGAGACGACTATCAAGAGTCCAATGGCAGAGTGGCGGAGCAGAAGCAGCTTCAATTGAAGGCCATACACAGGCCTAGGTTAAAAAGTCCCCCCCCAGCAGCAGCGTGGGGAGACGACTATCAAGAGTCCAATGGCAGAGTGGCGGAGCGGAAGCAGCTTCAATTGAAGGCCATACACAGGCCTAGGTTAAAAAGTCCCCCCAGCAGCAGTGTGGGGAGACGACTATCAAGAGTCCAATGGCTGAGTGGCGATCCGGGAAGTCAGCGTTGTGATTGCAGATGCAATGCAGAGATTCTATGAGGTGATGCCGTGGGTGCGAAGAAGATCATATACCGTCGTACTTCCATCCATAAGACGGAACAACCTGCGAACCGGGAGCTTTATTGCCCTGACCCGCTGAGCAGCTTCTGGGATACCCAAGAGGCCCATGGCAGAGTGGCGGAGCGTAAGCAGCTTCAATTAAAGGCCATACAGAGGCCTATGTTAAAAAGCCCCCCCCCAGCAGCAGCGGGGGGGAGACGACTATCAAGAGTCCAATGGCAGAGTGGCGGAGCGGAAGCAGCTTCAATTGAAGGCCATACACAGGCCTAGGTTAAAAAGTCCCCCCAGCAGCAGTGTGGGGAGACGACTATCAAGAGTCCAATGGCTGAGTGGCGATCCGGGGAAGTCAGCGTTGTGATTGCAGATGCAATGCAGAAATTTTATGAGGTAATGCCGTGGGTGCGAAGAAGATCATATACCGTCGTACTTCCATCCATAAGACGGAACAACCTGCGAACCGGGAGCTTTATTGCCCTGACCCGCTGAGCAGCTTCTGGGATACCCAAGAGTTTGGCTTCTGTGGGGAATATGGTTGAAAACTGAAACTTAAAGGCATGTTGACGGAAGGGCACCAGTGTCAGTGCTCCGGAGGGAATATAGCTTCAAAGCTGACACTTAAAGGTATATCGACGGTCAGAGACCACAGGAAGTGGAGCTTGCGTCTTAAATCGACTGAATGTGGCAGACGTGAAACGTCTACGGGCCGTATATGAAACGGGTTGTTCCTCTTTCTGGAATAAGTGTTGGAAATGGCCACTCTTTTTGGTGTGGCGTTTTGTCTATTTAATTCCGATAACGGACTCTACTCCTCCGTGCAATCTAGTTACGAGACCCTGGGCAGGTCTGGGTCCAATTTGTGGTAGAGACTGGTTTTGTTCAGCCATGCTTGAGCGAGTAATAACAGGTCTGTGCTGCCCTTTGGTGTCTGGCTTAATGCGCACAACACTGAACGTCCCAGCATTTGTCAACGATTTGCCGTTAAGTGATGCAAACCCGCTGAACCACGTTCATGAGGAGCCGGTACAGGGGGCCATGAATCAGTATGGACCTGGCAGCAGTGTGAGGAGACCCGAAAGTGGCACATGGCGCAGGGTGGCGGTGGAGGCAGCAGTATTCGGAAGACATACACAGGACTAGTTTAAAAAGCGGAAGCCGTCAGTCAGCAGCAGTGAGCAGACGACAGAGGCACATGGCGCAGGGTGGCGGTGGCAGTGGTGGCGGTGGAGGCAGCAGTATTCGGAAGCCATACACAGGCCTAGGTTAAAAAGCGGAAGCCAGCAGCAGCGTGAGCAGACGACAGAGGCACATGGCGCAGGGTGGCGGTGGAGGCAGCAGTATTCGGAAGCCATACACAGGCCTAGGTTTAAAACTGGAACCCAGCAGCGTGAGCAGACGACAAAGACGCACATGGCAGAGGATGGATCTGGCAGCAGTATGAGAAGGCGGTACAGGGGGTGTGGCACAGTGTGGTGATGGGGGCTACAGCAACTGGATGCCAGAAAGTGGCCGATAGGGGCTATATACTGCATGGAATTATAAAGTTGTAAAGACAGCGGCCTATAAGGCTATACACACATATAACAATCATGACTTGATTGACCATTGGCCTATAAGGCTATACACATGCATGAATATCATGACTTATTTTGAGAGTGGTTTGGAAGGCTATATACAAAAAGTAATATGAGCATGAGTCCGGTCCGGGACACAGCGGACATAAATACATCATACAAATCAATTCATCAGCTGTCCAGCCAGCGGCCTCAAAGGCGACACATATAGAAAGCAATTCATGAGCTGTTCAGACAGCGGCCTCTAAGGCGACAGATATACAAAGCAATTCCCGAGGTGTTCAGGGAGCGGCCTGAACGGCTAGGTTATTACTAAATATATTTTTGTGGCCAAACATCGGCCTATAAATAGATGTCTACACAGTGACAAAAAATTATGTCGCCAGACAGGCCCCCTAAGCCCCCCTAAGGCGACAGATATACAAAGCCCGCGAGGGCCCGCGAGCGCACAGGGCCCACAGTGTCTGAGGATGGACGTTGGCGCAGAAAGGCAGAGACCAACTGACTACATAGGTGGTTTTTATAGTACTTTATTTTGGCCTCCCTCTCAGCAGGTGTGAAAAAAAAGGCCACCATTTTTGAACGGTAGCGAGGGTCCAACAAGGTGGACAGACAGCCAAAAGTCATCCCTCTGTCTGATGGTTATTATTCGGCTGTCGCTACGCAAGCAACCGAGCATGCTATGGGCCATTTGTGCCAAGGAATGCGAGGGACTCCCTGCCTCCATCTCCACAGCATACTGCCACGGTGCGTCTGGGTCCTCTGTCTCCTCCTCCTCCTCCTCTACCAGATGCTCCTGCTCCTCCACTCCTGTCCGCTGAGTGGAAAAACCACCCATTTCACTCAATAATTCCTGAGCACCAATGTCCTCCTCTACCTCCTCCTCTTCTTCCTGTCCTGCCCCCACAGGGGTCATGTGTGGAGATTGAGATCTGTGCGCCACGTCTACCGCACCCTGACCAGCCATTGTTAACAGCATTTGTTCCAGGACGTGCAACAGAGGAATGACGTCGTTCATCCCATAGTCCTGCCGACTCACGAATAGCGTGGCCTCCTCAAAGGGCCTGAGCAAGCGGCAGGTGTCACGCATGAGCTGCCAATGGCTGACATCTAAGTTACACAGGGGAGTACCTTTATCCGCTTGTAACATCAGGAAATCGGTGATGGCCTTTCGCTGTTCGTAAAGGCGGTCTAACATATGTAGGGTTGAATTCCACCTTGTTGCAACGTCGCAGATCAGGCGATGCTGTGGAATTCCGTTCTGCCGCTGCAGCTCAAGGAGGGTGTGCTTTGCGGTGTAGGAATGGCTGAAATGCATGCAAAGTTTACGTGACATTTTAAGGATGTCTTGCAGTGGGATGGTGGATTTTAGGAACCGCTTGACAACCAGATTGAACACGTGAGCCATGCATGGCGCATGGCACAACCTTTCCTTGACGCAGAGCAGACACCATGTTCTTTCCGTTGTCGGTCAACATGGTTCCGATTTTCAGTTTGCGCGGAGACAGCCATCTGTCGATTTCTCTGTTCATTACACTCAGAAGTTCCTCCCCTGTGTGACTACGTTCGCCAAGGCATACCAGGTGCAGCACAGCGTGACACCGTTGCGCCCTGCACATGTGATATGCCGGTCGGGTAATGGGACTTGGCACGGGGGGGAGGGGGGTGGCGGCGGCTGAGGACACGGCGGAAGAAGAGGTGGTAGAGGCGGACATCTTTGCTGGACCAAGGACGTGCAAACGTGGAGGCAAAAGCGGCGTGACCTGTCCAAGTTGCTGGTGCGGCTGTGCCGGCACCACGTTCACCCAGTGGGCCGTAAATGACATGTACTGTCCCTGACCGTAGTTACAGCTCCACACGTCGGCGCTGCCGTGCACTTTGGCAGAGACCGACATGCTCAAAGACTGGCCCACCATCTCTTCTACGTGAATGCAGGGCTGGCACTGCCTTTTTGGCGAAGAAATGCCGGCTTGGCACTCTCCACCGCGGCTCGGCACAAGCCATCATTTCTCGGAAAGGTGCTGAGTCCACCACTTGGAAAGGGAGGGACTGCAGCACCAGCAACTTGGACAGGAGGACGTTCAGCTTCTGCACCGTCGGGTGCGTGCTCGCAAACTGTTGTCTCTTGGAAACGGATTCCAAGAAAGACTGCTGACGGAATCCGTGAAGAGGAGTAGCAGGAGAAGGAGCATCTGAACGAGCGGAAGATGCCAACGAGCGACAACTCCCCTCAGCAGAGGTGTTGGAGCCTTGACTGGCTGATAGAGGGCGATTGACGTCGGGTGACGGAGCAAGTAACGGAGCGGGTGATGGAGCGGGGGCTGGGGCAGGCAGAACCGCCGTATCTTTATCACGGTTTTCCCACCGAATGGCGACGCTGCATATGCTGACGCAACGCTGTAGTCCCAACATTGGCCCCCTGGCCACGCTTGACTTTCTGGCCACATAGTCGACATACGGCTACGTTTACTTCCTCTCGGGGGGCGGACTTGACGAAAAATTGCCACACCGCCGAGTAGGAAACTTTGCCCCCCGCTACTCCTCACTGGCTGACTGCTACTTCCTCCGTGCACACCGGCACCACTACTGGCCGTGGTGGTAGGCTGCAGTGGAGCTGGTGCTCTACTCCGTGGCCGTTTGGCTCCACTGACACTGCTGCGACCCTGCTGCCTCCTGGGCAACCCACCGACTGTTTTGCTTTGCTCGCTGGCAAGCTGGCACCCTCTTCTCCTGATGATGCGGAAGCAATAGCCTGATGACGACGAGGCTGCCAAGTGCGATCAGCATCATCATCATCATCATCAATTAGGGTCTCCGCGTCACTACTAGCCCCCTCGGCTGCGTGTGGGTCAGGAGACAGACCTGTCTCTAGACCGGCTACCGAGCCACTCTCCTCGCCAGTACTTCTTCGCCTGGCTGCTGAAGAGGCGGATGTCTCCCCCCGTTCCTGACCGCCCTCTGTTAGCTCTTCCTCACTGTACAGTCTGGCTGAGCCCACAGCATGCGATACTTCGCTTGGTGAGGGAACACCAAAGGACAGGGGAACACCAAAGGACAGGGGCAGGTCGAGGACACGTGATTTCAGTGGGCTTGCTCCCGGGCCATGCCAACTAACGGTTGTGTCTGACGTACCCACCGACCGTTGGCTGTGTAGGTGTCAGAGGTGACCTGGGAAGAGGAAGACGACCGAGTCAACCAATCGATGACGGCAGGGTTGTCGGTGGAGGAGACACGGATGCTGGATGACACCGGGAGCACTGGCCTCTGGCTGCGACTAGTGCTGCCTCGACCCCTTCCTCTGCTGCCACGTCTGCTCGCTCCTGAAACATTGCCTCCTCTGCCACTCCTCTGCGTGTTGTCTGACATACTCTTTAATTCAATAAGCACCCCAAAAATAAAAACGGATTTAACTCTTTGAACGTACAATAGTGGTTGTGAAGCAGAAAGTCAGTTTATTTAGCACAATCGGTCAATTGCAGCTTGCCGTTGGCTGAAACTGTACGTTTATGTCACTGGAATGCACTAATCACCCAAAAAATATTACCGCCACCCGGCGTGTATATGGATTTAACTCTTTGAACGTACAATAGTGGTTGTGAAGCAGAAAGTCAGTTTATTTAGCACAATCGGTCAATTGCAGCTTGCCGTTGGCTGGAAACTGTACGTTTAGGTCACTGGAATGCACTAATCACCCAAAAAATATTACCGCCACCCGGCGTGTAAATGGATTTAACTCTTTGAACGTACAATAGTGGTTGTGAAGCAGAAAGTCAGTTTATTTAGCACAATCGGTCAATTGCAGCTTGCCGTTGGCTGGAAACTGTACGTTTATGTCACTGGAATGCACTAATCACCCAAAAAATATTACCGCCACCCGGCGTGTAAATGGATTTAACTCTTTGAACGTACAATAGTGGTTGTGAAGCAGAAAGTCAGTTTTATTTAGCACAATCGGTCAATTGCAGCTTGCCGTTGGCTGGAAACTGTACGTTTATGTCACTGGGCACTAATCACCCAAAAAAAATATTACCGCCACCCGGCGTGTAAATGGATTTAACTCTTTGAACGTACAATAGTGGTTGTGAAGCAGAAAGTCAGTTTATTTAGCACAATCGGTCAATTGCAGCTTGCCGTTGGCTGGAAACTGTACGTTTATGTCACTGGAATGCACTAATCACCCAAAAAAATATTACCGCCACCCGGCGTGTAAATGGATTTAACTCTTTGAACGTACAATAGTGGTTGTGAAGCAGAAAGTCAGTTTATTTAGCACAATCGGTCAATTGCAGCTTGCCGTTGGCTGGAAACTGTACGTTTATGTCACTGGAATGCACTAATCACCCAAAAAAAATATTACCGCCACCCGGCGTGTAAATGGATTTAACTCTTTGAACGTACAATAGTGGTTGTGAAGCAGAAAGTCAGTTTATTTAGCACAATCGGTCAATTGCAGCTTGCCGTTGGCTGAAAAACTGTACGTTTATGTCACTGGAATGCACTAATCACCCAAAAAAAAATATTACCGCCACCCGGCGTGTAAATGGATTTAACTCTTTGAACGTACAATAGTGGTTGTGAAGCAGAAAGTCAGTTTATTTAGCACAATCGGTCAATTGCAGCTTGCCGTTGGCTGGAAACTGTACGTTTATGTCACTGGAATGCACTAATCACCCAAAAAAATATTACCGCCACCCGGCGTGTAAATGGATTTAACTCTTTGAACGTACAATAGTGGTT